CCATACCATACACCACACCATACACCACACCATACACCATACCATACCATGCCATACACCATACCATACACCACACCATACCATACCATACCATACACCATACCATACACCATACCATACACCACACCATACCACACCACACCATACCATACACCATACCATACCATACACCATACCACACACCAAACCATACACCATACCATACACCATACCATACCATACCATACACCATACCACACGCCAAACCATACACCATACCATACCATGCCATACACCATACCATACACCATACCACACACACCATACCATGCCATACCAGCACTTTAAACACCCACAGGACCAAAGTGCTGTACACATAATAAAACAATCATACAGTCAGATAATTAAAAAAAGATTAAAATGATTAGAAGTCACATAAAAGTTGTACACATATAGTACACATCATAAAACAATCATACAATCGGGTAATAAAAAGCAATTAAAGTAATTAAAAGTCAACATGTCAGATGGTGTCAAAGGTCAGGGAGAAGAGAAGGTTTTAAGAAGGGATTTAAAACCAGACAGGGAAGAGTCTTATGTTCAAGGGAAGGTTGTTCTACAGTTTAGGAGCTGCCACAGCAAAAGCATGGTCTCCTCTGAGCTTACACACTCAGGAGCAGCTGATCACATGACCTGAGGGATCGAGAGGGTGTAGGGATGTAACAACTTGGACAGATAAGGCGGGGCAAGTCCATTAAGAGTTTTAAAAGCAAATAAAGTAATTTTAAAATGAATCCTAAAATGTATGGGCAGCCAGTGCAGGGAGGCTGAAACAGGACAAATGTGGTTTAGTTCCATTTTATTTGTGCACTTTTCTTCAAAGAACTATCAGCTGCTCTGCTTTACAAACAGTGTTGTCCTCTCACTTCTTGGAATCAGAACTGGATTAGGGAGAAGAAGAGTGTTCAGCTTTGCTGAGCCTTTTGTGTGGAAGAGCTTCAGACTGATGTGAAACTGGCAGACCTCATATTTCTGGAGCTTTTTGTTAGAGCCTGACTGATATGGAAATTTTGGCTATTGCCGAGATCGATAGGAGGGAAGGTGGATGCTGATAACCCATATAATAGCTGAAAATTCTTGAGCTTGAGCAGCAGAGTTTATTTATTTTTGTAGAGAATTAAAGATTTCAGACAAACAATACATTTCAATGAGGATGACAAATATAACGTTACTGATATATTTGACCTCTGTTAGATTCAATAGCCTATGCTGGGTTATCTAAACGTTAGCTTGCTAACTTGAGAGGCATGTAGCTAATGACAAACGGGTTGGAGGATTGAAGAGAATTTATTGTTGATTTGTTTTACAGATCAGTTAAAATAAACTTACCATGCTCTGTTCAGCAAAATATGCTACACAGTATTCAGTTGCTCCCTGCTTCATCTGTGCTGAAAGTGAAAGTTAAGTAAACGGCCGTGACTTGAAAGTAGTCTTCCTGCGCCTTCTTCTGGATACATTGTACAGTTACAGCTGGTTCCAGCATTTTAGGGGTGAAAATTAAAAGTGCTTATATCGGCGAATAGTTAGACAATTATCACAGATGCTGATAGGTCCCCACCGTTTATATTGGCCTAAAATATCGACCCTACTGATATATCGGCCAGGCTGTACTTTTGGTCTAATCCTGACAAAGTCTGTGTGACCTTTAAACAGTGTGTGCTTTTGTACCATTGCCTTGTTTTAAATCACACACCTTGCACTTTAGTTTGAAAAACATTTTTGTGCGTTAAAAAAAGTATGTTTTGTTCAAGATTAAGTTATCAGTGCTGTAGTCTCACTCCTGAGACTTCAGGTTCAAGCCTAGGTTACGTCAGGAAGAACATATGATATAAACCAGCTGGCAAATCTTTCACGTAGTTTCACTTGCTGTGGTGAACCCTGCAGAGGACCAGCAGCCTAAACTAAACCAGCATCGCCCTACACCGTTACTTGTTTCTGCTGTTTTATGCTGTGTGCAGCTGACCTCCTGTCCAGGTCACACTTGAAGGAGATCCTGATCTCAGTGGGTTTTTATCTGCTTAAATGATGAAACAAAGATCTGACTCAAATGTTGTCAGAATACGTGATCAGTCACCAGTGATGTGATGTGTGTTTGTGTCACAGTGTGCTGATGACGCCATGGCAATGCTCAACGGTCAGGTCATTAATGGAGTGAAGATGAAGGTGATGCTGGCTGATCCTCCCAGAGAGGAGTCTCACAAACGTCCTCGTACCTACTGAGCATGAGCTGAACGGTAAGTGTTGAAGGTGACAGCAGTTAGTGTTTTGATGTTACACGTGTTGCTGAACAGTGGGACAGTAAGATGAAGACTGAGCTGATCTGGATGTAAAGCTGTTATGACGTGTTACTTTAAGGACTCAGGACTCAGAATGAAGACTTTCTTCTGTTTAAAGACTAAAATGAACCATTGTTTCTGTTGACACGTTAATATTCCCTCTCACTGAGGGTTCTTTACTCTGAGACCTGCTTCATGTGAACTGCAGTCTCTCTGCTCCTTTTTAATGTGAAGCAGCTCCTGGGTTATTTTGTTGGTTTTGTTTCAGTGATGCTTTATAAATAAAGATTATTTACAAAGAAGCGCTCAGATCGATGGGGAAAGAAAGTTCACCCTTGGTCAGTCCTGGAGTTTTAAGTATCGGGACATAAAATGATCTGGTTTCCATCCAGATTCTAAAAATGATCTAAAGTACAAAACAACAGATTCCACCATGTTAATATTTAACAAACCAAAACAGAAAGAAAAAAAAAACCCTGTGTCCACCTCTGCCTCTTCCACAGAGTGTCCAGCATCAGCCCAGAGCAGCTGATCAGATGTATTGATTAACTGATCATCAGTTCTATAAAAGCAGGAGTGTGCTGCTCTGAAGCGTACAGGTGTGTGTTAACACAATGTCAGGGTGGAAAGACATCAGCAATGACCTTGGAGAAGTAACTAGCTGTGCATCAATGTGGGAAGGGTTCAATCCTTCATTCATTGTTTATTTCAAACTATTTTAACTTTTTGTACTATGTACAAATTCAACATTACCCTGTTTTAAGGGTCGAAGGTCATTTACAAGCTATTTGGAGTCCATCTTTCTACACAGAGACAGATTATTCACAAGTGACTGCTGTCATTCTTCACCCCAGGGTCAGACTGTGCAGTGCCCAGAGACATTACAAATCTTACTCTACTGGCCTCAGCAGGTCAAAGGTCATGACAGGACAATTAGAGAAAGACTGAATGAACCACAAGACTCCAGGGACAATGTCCTCTGGACACATGAGACGTTTACCCATAATGCACAGCAGCATGTTTAGAGAGGACCGTTCAGCACAAACACCACCCAGTCAGCACGGTGGTGGAGGGCTGATGGTTTGGGCTCCTTGCAGTCACCAAGCAGACCGTGAACTCCTGTAGACCAAAGGGTTCTGGAGTCAGATGTGCTGCTGTCCAACAGTTTGGACCAACTGGGTCATGATGCAACAGAACAATGATCCAAAATACAGCAACTGATTCAGAATATGACGACTCGACAAGAAAAATCAGCATCATGTAGCGGTCCAGTCAGTCCAGAACCTGAACCGGACTGAAGCTGGTGGGACCTTCAGAGAGCTGAGCAGAAACCTCGGTGAACTGAAACAACGATGGAAAGAGGAGTGGGACAGAACAGTTTTTGTTTATTATTGACACGGTCAAACGTGTTGTGTTGTTTGTACACGCTCCGTTAGACTTTAGCTCATGTTAGACTTTAGCTCATGTTGGGGCTTGTTAAAGACCAGATCCTGGTACGGTAAAACCCCAGAACTGAAAGAGGGTGGACTCTTTCTTTCCTACGACAGTTAAAACAACAACTTTAAGATGTCACCATGTTTGTTTGGCTGTTTCATTTTCCCTGTCAGTAACCCTGCAGCTTCTTGTTCTCCAGGTGACTGTTGCCATGACACTGACACCTGACCTGACAGACCAACAGACATCCACACCGTCTCTCGACCTCTGACCCCGACCTTTGACCCCTGTCTGACTCGTAATCAGCTGAAGAGCAACATGTACACTGTGTTGTGGTCAGTCATGCATTTGTTTTATTATGTGTAGATTTTAGCTGTTAGGACTGAAAACACGTGAACTTTTAAAACTCAGTGTTTGTCACAATGTCCTTAAGACGGAGAGCAGAGTTTAGTTCATCGAAGCTGATCTGAAGTTGCTTCAGATCTGGTTTTAGTTTTGTTCATGGACAGTCTGACCTGTAATCTCACAATGTTGACTCGTTTAAAACATGTTTGTTTTTTCATCTGATAATAAAAAAACCCCAACATTGTGTTGTCTCTTCTTTTCCAAACGTGCAACAAATACAAACTGCATTACACATAAAAACCATTTTAAACTGCAAACGTTCATTTTGTGCTTGTTGATCAATCAGTACGTTGAGCAGGTTTCTGCTTCGCATGCAAACAGCCAAGTATAAAAGCATCTTAGGTCCACTCTAAAGAAAAAAACTAGAGGGGCAAATTTTATTTTAAAGTTTTGGAGTTGAAGCTTCACTTCTGACAGAATCAAGTGTTTTCTAGACATAATCCAGAGGAAGTGAAGGCCACGGTGTTTTTTATTCCAGTTGTTAGGCGAGAAGTACAGTATGTGTGTGCTGTGTGTTATTCTTTGTTCCCTTACAGCACCAACACTGATCCTCTGCATTTAATCCATCACACCTTGAATGCACACAGGTGGAGCAGTGGGCAGCTATTGAGGACCAGGGAAGCAGTTGGGGATTGGGTGTCTTGCTCAGGGACACCACGACGTGGAAATGACTGGGAGTCGAACCACAACTTTCTGGCCCCAGATCGGCCCTCCCTGTCGGGGAATCGAATCCCCGTCTCCCACGTGACAGGCGGGAATACTCACCACTATACTAACGAGGAATCTGACGGTTACTGGGTGCACCTAGAAACCTGTGGTATTTTGGTTGCAGCAGTCAGAGGAGCAGCTTAGAACTACAGCTAACACCTCCAAGTGTTGACTTCTGAAGACTCTTAATCCATGATTGTCTAGACGCGTATGTTTTACCTTAAAAATACGTTTTACCTTAAAAATAAGCTTTTCATTACTGTTCAGTTTTTTTACAGCACCAATTCACAACAAACACGGTCTCAGAATTGTACAAAAACATTTTATAACATGCCAGTTAGTTAAAATCATCTAAGGAAGCCAGCACATTGCTTTAAGTTTTCACTTTGTCACAGCCTCCCATCCTGAGCAGCACACTGGTGACAGTGGAAATAAATGATTCCTGTTTAACAAGAACCTGCCAGCAGAACCAGGACGAGCAGACATCTGCCTCCACTGGATGGTCCTGCTGAGTACAGACGGCAGCAGAGTGCATAATGTGGTGTTTGTCCTCCAGCAGTCAAGCCTATAGCAGCATAACTAAGGGATAGTTCAGGAAACCCATGCTAACCCTAACTATAGGATTTAGTTTTCAGTCTAGTCTTAAAAGCAGAAAAAATGTCAGCCTCAGACAGAAACTGGCAGTTGGTTCCACAAGTCTCATAACTGAAGGACTAGCTGGACTTGGGAGCTCTGTCCTGAAGAGCTTCTATCGCTGCGTGGTGAAGCGCGTTCTCTGCACCTGCGTCACCGTGTGGCACGGCAGCTGCGGAGAAGATGGCTCTGCAGGGGGTGGTTAAGGTTGCACAGAAGACTGGAGCAGCCTTCCCACCACCTGACCTCTACACTTCACGATGCAGGGGGAGAGCGCTCCACATCATGAAGGACTCCACTCATCCTGCACAGTCTGTTCCAGCCTCTCCCCTCAAGCAGGCAGCTGAGGAGCACTCAGAGCAGGACCACCAGGCTCAGAAACAATTTCTTCCCTGCAGCTGTCAGACTGATGAACTCGGGGTTTGAACCAGGGACCTGCTCGCTGAGAGGCAGCAGCTCTGTATATATATATATATACACATATATACACATATATATACACATATATATACGTATATATATATGTATATGTATATATATATATATATATTTGGGGAGTGGTGGCGCAGAGGTTAGAGAGGTGGGCTTGTGATCCAAAGATCGCCGGTTCACGCCCCGGCCCCGACAACATCAAAAATTGTGGGTGGGGTAGGTGAAACACCCACACTTGCCCCCACCCTCATTCGCCCCACTCTGGGCCCATGAGCAAGGCCCTTAACCCCACCATGTGCTCCCTAAACAGGTCTCTCTTGAAAATGAGTTCTCGTGGCTCAATGAGACTAACCTGGATAAATAAAGGCTAAATGAAAAAAAAAATATATATATGTGTATATATATATATATATGTGTATATATATGTATATATATATATACATATATATATACACATATATATATATATATGTGTGTGTATATATATATATATATACAGAGCTGCTGCCTCTCAGCGAGCAGGTCCCTGGTTCAAACCCCGATCCAGGGGCCTTTCTGGGTGAAGTTTGCATGTTCTCTCCGTGCATGCGTGGGTTTTCTCCGGGTACTCCGGTTTCCTCCCACAGTCCAAAAACATGCATGTTAGGCTGATTGGTAACTCTAAATTGTCCCTAGGTGTGAGTGAGAGAGTGAATGGTTGTCTCGTTTGTCTCTGTGTGGCCCTGTGATGGACTTGCGACCCGTCCAGGGTGTACCCCGCCCCTCGCACAGTGATTGCTGGACATGGGCACCAGCGACCCCCGTGACCCAAAAATGGAATAAGCGGGTAAAGAAAATGGATGGATGGATGGATATATATATATACATAAGTGTATATATATATATATATACATATACACACGTGTGTGTGTATATATATATATATATATATATACATACATATACACACGTGTATTTACTATTTATGTATATATATATATATATATAATATATATATATATATATATATGTGTGTATATATATATACACACACACACACACGTGTATTTATCATTTATATGTATATGTGT